CGAATAGAAGACGGAACTAGAAGACGCATTCTTTAGATGCAAAAACAGCCTTTTAAGAGCAATTCTGCTCGCACATCCTTATCTGAAAGTGGAACTAACATTCATAACAGATGCTTCCGACACTACATTAGGAACAGTTTTGCAACAAAAAAGAAGCCATTAGTCTTTCTGAGCAAAAAATTCAATCAAGCGCAAACAAAATACAGCCCATACAATCGGAAATTGCTGGCAATCTATATAGCAATAAAATACTACCGACATATGCTGAAGAACCGCCCATATAAAAATTTTTCACCGTTTTTAAACCTTATATGGACCGTTTTTAGCCCGTTTTTTGCCCGTTTTTAGCCCGTTTTTGCCCGTTTCTTGCACTTGCAAGCACTCGCAGTGTATCATGAAGGAACGGTAGTGAGTATACACGAGTACGCAATGAGTATTTTCGAGGAGATTGCCCGTTTTCAATACTCGTTTTTCCGCTGATGAATGACAAACGTATACGCAAGTATGATCATGAGTATTTTTGAGGGAATCGTCCGTTTTCAATACTCGTTTTTCCGCTATGAGTATTTTTGAGTGGATTATCCGTTTTCAGCTGATGAGTGAGAACACGTTAATACGAGGTTTCTCTTTTACTCGTACATTTACTTATCACTTATTAATTACCATATTCGTACGATTTCAAATAAATTAAAATAGAATTTATATAATAATTCATTATTTATTATTATATACATATATATACGAGTATGCAGGACCCGGCACATACATATTCCTCATGAAAAAGTAAATTGAAAATCCTAATAGCAAAATCTTAAGGCATCAATAGTTTTCAAACGGTGAGCATTTGAAAATGACCAACCACAGGACATGAAATTCGCGCCGTCAGGGGCGGCGCAACTAACAAGCGATCGGTCGCGCGAACGCTTTGACGGACGTATCGCTCAACGGCACCGAACGAGTATTGCAAAGTTTCGTGAAATTTCTATATTAACTACTGCCGTATTATTAAATTTTTGTAACAAAAATTTTTTAATAAAATTAATAATTAATTTAAAAAAATATAACTAATATATTTACGCTCGCGCGCACGCGCGCGCGCGTGTGTGTGTGTGCATACACATCAGAGTTCTAGTTTAATCTACCACGTCTTTTAATTATTTTTGAAGGGTAATTACATTAAAAATAAAATATATTTAGAAAAAAATTGTTTACTTTGAAATAATCTCCTAATCTGCATGCAAAAGTATTAAGATAGACTTGTCAAAATATTAATAATTTACAAGGTATATTACACTTTATTCAGGTATAACATGTTTCATGAACTATTTTTAACAGTTGTACTTTAATATTTTTATGCACAGAATAATGAATTAAATCAATTAGTTAATCATTCAAAATATGTAAAATGTTAATGTCTAATGTCTTTTTGAGGTGTGTGTGTGTGTGTGTTTATATATATCTGAACATATAACATTACATATATGTATATAACTCATACACAATGTATTAAATATAATTACTATATAATAATTATAATCTTTCATCAGGGAATGGAAGTAACTCGTTACTTGTAACGAAGTTACAGTTACAAGTTACTTTTTTGGTAACTTTACTAGTAACTGCGTTACTTTTTTTCTTTGG